GATCTGGAAAGTCGCTCATCACATGTGGTGTAGTGGAAAATCTTACTGATGTTAATGAACTTGGAAAATCAAAGGGTGATAATAAAGAAATAAAGGGAAGCATAGATGGAAGAACAGAGGAACAAATAAAAAGATAAGGCTTGAACTCTGTTGACTCTGTCTGCTCCTCTACACTACTGGTAAATGACATAAAGTTTGCATTCATACTTGAGTGTTATCTGGTTTATACTGTGTTAAAATTGCCTTCACTGCTCTCTTCTTCAACCCTCTCTCTCTCTCTTTCTCTTTAGGTACATACAAGCAGCCACATCTCCTAAAGATGTGATAAATGTGGTAGTATGAAAAGGACTCAGAATGACCATAGCCAAACACACCATCAATACAAACCTGGACACACTGGGAGAAAATGACTTTGTTAACATCATAGCTGTAAGTAGAAATCATTGCCACACATCTAAATCCTGATGAGCATAGAGAGTAACACCTTAACTCACAAATGCACACACGCAGGTACAGTATAGGGACGGGGGGAAATACATGCAAAAGAACCCAGTTATGCAAAATAAACACAAATACAGACATCAAATATTCACTTTCAGTAACATCAAAGCTTCAAAATTCATTTTTGTTTTTCAGGGTTTTTTGTGTGTGCAGCCTTACTACTACAAATCGGTGCAGTAAGCGTGGTTTATCCTGGTATTGCTGTCTGTGTAATCACACAGTGCCTGGAAACCTGCTGACCCTCAGCTGTTGTTTTTAAAGATGCACTCCTTTTAACTGAGTGACCAAGTAGCAAAATTAAAATCAGTACTTGACTTTTTTTTTTCAGGGAGATATCCAAGTCTGTTATGATCTGACACACTTCCTGTCTTGGACATTACTTTCTATTACACTTCTGACCTGTTTTAGGTCTCTGTTTCCATGCACTTTACCTGACCAGCCTGTCCCTATTACTCACACCTATTATGTACATTCAGTCTTTTGCTAGTTCATCTGGTTACCTCATCTGACACTTGTATGTTCTTGCTCCTGTCATTGGTTTTCATTTTGGACTCTGCCCTGTGAACTTTCTGATTTAAGGGCTTTTTTGGTTCCTGGTAACCTGGCTAATAGTTTTCTTCTGTTTGTGCTTTGCTTTTGTTACACCTTCGCTCTGCATTCATTGGATGGTTGTTAGATTTTGACATGCACAAACAGCTTCCAGGAATATAAGACCTCATCCAAATATATAACTTTAACAATTAAAATCTGTTTGAAAAACAAACAATAGAACTATTGTAAAAGGGACTATTGTAACAGTGAACTGCTTTCACAAAAGTAGATGCTGGCTTGAGTGAATAAATCTAATATACAATAGTTAAGAGGTGTCTAGGGTCACTGAGTGATTTGAGGAATTTGGGGGTAGTCAAATTTCAGTAACTCTTAATTGTTCTAAATGTTAATAATGTTGACTGTTGAACAGCTGGTTCATCGACTATTGGGTCATATATTTGGTTTCTCTCTCCAGTACAGTGTCTATGTTCGCTACATGGAGCCCTGCTTCAAGGGCACACTGGTGCATGTAGATCAGACAGAGAGGTACCACACAGACAAACACACACATCAAAGCCACATACACCGGCTCACAGCTAATTAATTCACTTAACCACTGGTAACCTGTTAATCGTAAGCTATCTCACTAATCCTCTAAAGAGAAAGATTACGTTCTCATTACATCACAGTTAAAATATCACTGTGAACGCACTTTCTCAGGGTCTCAACCCGTTTGTTACAGGAGTTACTTATGAAACCCTGGGATCCAGTTTGTGTTCATGTGTTTGTGCTCTTTCTCTATTAATGTTTTAAGATTGCAGATTTCTTCCTGATTCTTTCTTCTTTATCTCACCCGCCTCATCCTTTGTCTTTGTCCTCCATCTCCTCCTGCATTTCCCACACAAGACCTTGGCATTTGTTTTTTCTTGTGTTCTTTTTTTTATATACATGTAGTATGACATCATTACTATCTCATTGTTTCACTGCTGGTTTTATTCATTTTTTAATCTTCTTCATCTGTTCCTTGTTTTGTATATCCCAGCTCCTACTCAGGCCCAGTGTGTTTGTGTGTGAGTGTGCATTATGTGTTGGATTGCTGCCCTACTTTCACTCCCCATCACATTGTCGCAGATCCTGTGAGGTCACTGGCCGCTGAAGTTTAAGTAGGTCACATGATCTCGTAGCAAGCAATTTGATTGGTTACATGTCTAGACAGGCAAGATAAAACAGCACGGGCTTACAGATGTTCACTGACCTACTTACCCATAAATTCATATAACACAAATGCACACACATTAACAGGAAGGCAAACTGCTGTTTTGTGGCTGTTATATAAGAGTTCCTGCATTCCCAAACACCTTTTTACCATGTTTGTTCCCACTGTAAGTCAGAATTGGTTTGGCCAAGCTATAAATGAGACCCAAAGACTGTTGTTTTTTGTTTTTTGACAGTTTTTTGACCAAATGTGCCCAAACATGAGCTGAAAATTGAAATATTCCTAAGTTTTTTTGTCACAGTTGAAATGTAAGTACAGTAAGCGCATGATCTCATGTCTTGGTCATTTCATGTTATAAGATTTTGCACCATTCTGAGCAGTGAAATAGAAAAATAGATTCACTTATTTTATATCCACAATTCACAGGACCACATCAGTTGATTTCTTTTGTACAAAAATTGTTTACTCAAGATCTAGTAAACTATGTGTGTGTGTGTGTGTGTGTGTGGGTGTGTGTGTGTGGGGTTAGGCTACAGCACTGGGACAGGGCAGCCTTTGTAACCAGGCCATTATGCTGATAACAGACGGAGCCATGGAGGACTTCCAGCATGTTTTTGAAGAGTTTAACTGGCCAGAACAACACGTATGAACTCACACAAATATACTCACAAGCATAGCATGGACAAACACAGTATCAAATGGGTGGGATTTATCACGTCTTACAAGATACTGTACTTAATTATCTCTTCAGGTTCGAGTGTTCATCTACCTAATTGGACGAGAAATGACATTTGCTGAAAATGTCAAATGGATTGCCTGCAACAACAAGGGTAAAAACAAATGGTTTGCTTTTTCTGTGAGAAGTCAAACACTTTTATTACTGATGAAACCTTCATAATCCAGACATAAAAGTTGAGCAATAAATGTGAAAACTTCTATAACAATCACTCACTGGCTAGTTCTTAAATAAAACAGTGCCCCCTCACATTATTCTTCATGATCAAGATAAAAGATTTTTATTGTCAATTCACTATATGTGCAGGACATACAGAAAAATCGAAATACTGTTTCTCTCTCACCTAAAGTTGAATGCCCATACCATTTAAGAAACTAAAATAGAATAAAGGTAGAATAAACACAGAATAAACAGAATAGGAAAACTGAGTTCAAGTAATAAGGATAAACTAGATGGTACAACCTAATAGGCTATGAAGAAACTCAAAGCCATGTGCAAACTGTGACAGTAGTGCAAATAATAACAAGAAGATTATCAGGTGGTCAGGTTATAATTCTATAAAGAAAGAAGATCTGATGGCCTTCTGTAGTTTCATGTGGTGCTGTATGGAACTAAGTATTAGGTGCTGCCCTCCTGTGAATTATACAGGGTCATGCAGCAGTTCAGACCTAAAAATAACCATTTTATCCTGCCTAAGCACATCAAAAACCTCAACTCTGCCTAAAAACATATCTACATGTGTGTGTCTGTGTGTAGTGGGTAGCAAGTGCACTCCCTTCTGTTGTGAACACTGTCTGTTGCTTCTAACAGACAAACAAGCTTACTGTTTAAGTTTTAGTTGCATGAAAAGGTGTATTTAATAATAACAGCATCTCTCTTGAGGAAGTTTTAAGGGTAAAAAGGTTTACACAGATTCACATGTTCATAACTGGCAATGCTTCAGTAGCCTGCTGTCACTGAACAGCTTCACTGCAGGTATCTCATAAATCTTTGACTAAGCTAAACTTTAAAGAACATCAAAAACACATTTGCATCAATGGGTGATCCATTAAAAAAAGAGCTTAGTGGTTTTTAGGACTGAAAAGTTTTCTGATGTCTGACAAATTTAATTAATTAATCCCCAAAGGCTGGAGGTAAAAGGGCACAGACAGGGCAGCTTAGAAGTTGGT